ACACACACACACACACACACACACACACACACACACACACAGTTTGGTTTGTTTTTTTGTTTCATTCTGAAGCGGGGTGTCTTTGCATAGTCCCAACTGTCCTGAAACTCACTCTGTAGTCCAGGCTGGCCTCAAACTCAGAAATCCACCTGCCTCTGCCCCTCAAGTGCTGGGATTAATAGCATCGCCACCACTGCTTGGCTATGTTTACTTTTATTTTATTTCATTTTTCTAGAAAAATACTTGCATTTTGCCAAGACTAACCTTCAATAGATATTTATTGAAATAATGAGTGAATCTCAAAATACTAACTTTTTGAGAACTTCAATAAGGACTTGGAATAAATTTACTTATCTTTTTAAATCAGTTTATTTTCTAGTTAGAGTACTTCTAAGAAGTTGTATTTCATAATATATCAACACTTTCAATTTTCTGCTTTATGGTGAACTAATTACAAGCCAGCGAATTATTGACCAAATGTGGTATAAATATGCTTTTTTCCTCGTTGTTTCTGACTAAATTAAAAATATAATAAATGTACCAATGTAATTACTGAAGAACAGCTTTTAAAATTAAATTAAAAATTGTTCTAAGATTGCTTAATGTTAGACTGACGTATCATTTTGTTTTAAGTATTATTATTACAAATACTTTTTGTTTATCATTCATGATAAATGTCCAAGTTCTCTCGGTCCTCATCCAGTCAAGGTCCCACACTTTATTTTCTCTCCAGCAGGTGGCACTGTTTAATTACAAATATAAGCTGTGTCACTTGAATGACATTGAAATGTCTCATGTAAAGGAACATATTTGATATGTTTTGATATTCAAGAGGCAGCTAATAATAGTCACACTCTGGAAGCAGACATACTGAGGCTGACTCACACCAGCTACCCACCCAACCAATCGGTTATTCGATCTATATTTATTCAACGAGTATTCACAAAGTATCCACTAACTGATAGGTAATGTAGGGATTCAAGGATAAATGAGGCATTCCAACTTGAAGGGAGTCTTAAGATTAAAAAAAAAAGTAATATTGTATTATAAAACATATTTGAAACATAGTTAAGGTTTTTTTCTCATGTACACTGTTCAAATATCCATAGAAAATCATAGCATGTACAAAACAAACGTTACAAAAGAATGCTATATGGAATCTTCTTCAGTAGCCATAATTTGCCTTAACAGTTAGTTGATATTGATGGAAAGTGAAGAGTCAGTTACTTTTTGCAATTATCTGTAGCTACTGAGAGTAGAGTTTATCTTTTATTCCTAGTTCATTTAGCTATTGAGGACCTTGACTATTTACTACATGTGGCTAAGAATGCATCACAAGTCACCATATGTTTGAAGTTAAAATGGATACATTTAATTTGGTGTGAGTCCAAAATAAATGGTGTTTCCTTCCGTTGAAGGTTCTCAGAGCACACATCCTGCCGTTGACCAACGTGGCACTCAACAAAGCAGGATCGTGGTAAGGTCCCCTTGTTAACTTTTTAACGTTTAGCAATCAAAGGATGAACATTTCTGAGGGTTTCTCCAGTAGTTCAGTTAGTCACAGACCTAATGTGCCCATCTCCCGGATTCCCCGATCCTGCTAACCACAGAAGATGCTGCAAGCACTTGCTCCCGCTGCTCTAATCCAGCTTTTCCATGCCTTGGTGTAATCTTGTGCGAGAAGCACCCAGAGGTGTCCTCAAGCGCTACAGCCAAGAATAAGAAGATGCAGAACAGTACACGGAGGTGTCTGCCTCTTTGCCTGGGCTGTAGAAGCTGTCAGTCGGGGGCATCATTGTGGCTGGTCAGGATGTGTTCCTTCAAAAGAGGGCCTTTTCTATCCAGCTTTGTGTCTTTTGTGTGATGCTTAGGACCACCACCACTGTGTTCTGAGGCTGCTTTGATCAGCTTCAGCTCTGAGGGCCATACACAGACATGCAAATATGCCTTATCAGTTCGCTCCGATCCCTGTAATACAACAGCACAAAGTGGCACTCAAAAATAAAAGCATTTTTATATTGCAGAACGTAACGATGGAGGATGTGTAGGGTATAGGGGACGAGAGGAGGCATGATGAAGGTAGAAGTTACGATCTAACAACTGAGAGCAGAGCCCTACTCACAATGTGAGGTGTTACAAAAGCTGCAGAAGTCATTATAACACACACTTTAATTGTACAGGAATGTTAAAGGAATGGAGCTGAGAATATTTGATTTTTATTTAGTAAGCTTTCTTTGTTCCGAATATATAATATCCTATATAAAAAGGCACACCAAAGGATAATTAAAAAGTTATCATGTAGGAAAAACAAAAAAACAAAAGTCAAACAAGGACACCCTCCCCCCCCAAAAAAAAACCTCACCCCCACCACGAAACAACAACAGAAAAACTCAAACAAGGTATCAATGAGCAAACCCCTGCCTTTCTCACCGTGCAGTGTGCTCCTGTCCCCTGTTTTAGCTTCATCACAGGAAGCTATGATCGGACGTGCAAGGTGTGGGACACGGCATCCGGAGAGGAGCTTCATACCCTGGAGGGCCACAGGAATGTGGTTTACGCCATAGCCTTCAACAACCCTTACGGGTATGTTCGTTCATTCTCTTACTCCGTCATCATCCATGTTCTCACCCCAGCACCTAGTGGCTGATGGAGGGAAAAAAGAGAGAGAATGAAAATGTACTGAGTTTTTGCTGTTCCTTGGAAGCTGTTCAAGTTTCTTGCATCGTCTCCTGCCTTTTGGCTCTAGTCTTTCCACTGAACACGTTGTTGGAGGGCTTTCCCCTGCATCGCTGCAGAGAGCTGGGGATGCGGTCAGCGAGGCTGCCTCCCTGCCTCCCTTTCAAAGTTCCTCAGAAGCCGTTCTTACTGGTGCACAGCATTGTGTTGGTGGCTCTGGAGAGTAAGGCTTCGCCTACCGCGTCCCATGACTTCTTTCACGTATGAATGAGTATTCAGTCTCACGGCAGAGAAAAAAAAAACAAACAAACATATGCAAGTGCAATATGCTAAATAACAGTGCCAAGAGCAGTCAACACGGTTGGCTGATCGAGTACATCAGCAGTGCCCTCTGTTCTCATCCGCTACAGTTCTGATGCTGGCGACACTGGGTGCTTGTAGCCACAAAGCACCCATCACCCCGTCACTCTGCCTGGCCCTTCAGAGGTGAGTTTCTAAGCTTTGCGAGGGGGCAGTTGTGTGACCACAAACCTGTGCGTTCAACCATAAGTGTGAAAATGACTATGGGGTTTCATTACACGCTATTTTTTAATTGTTTTGATATCAAAACAATTAAAAAATAGCGTCTACACCAATGAGACGCAAAGATGAAGAAAGAGTTGCTGCCTTCTATGAGCGGATAAGGGGAATGTCTGAGAAGACTTTTCCTAAATGAAACTGTGGGTACAATCCAATGGGTTCTGTCCTCTGATGTATTTACAGTCTTCAAGTTTCTCTTCCTATTTAAAAACTTGAAATACGGACTCCATTTATTTTCAGAATTTACACACATGGCGATGCTAAGGTCAGAGGACATTTCCTAGGCCTCACTTCTCTTCTTCCACCGTGTGGGCACAGAGATCAATTTCTAGAGGCTGGGCAGCAGGTATCTTTACTCAAGGAACCATTTCTCCAGCTCCTTCACATCCCATTAAAAAAAAAAAAAAAAAACTAAACTAAAAATTGTGGGATTCATTCAGATTACTGTGACACAGGTGACTAATAGGCTGACCCAGGGTCATTCTAGTGAGTTCAGAGACCTTGGCTTGCTGTCACAAGAGTGCCACCTGAGTGTATCTTTTTGGACAAAATTTCAATGAAAGTGTTTTCTTTTACAAATGATCCCTCGAAATGGCTTTTTTCCATTAATGAAGATAGCTGGAGGAATCTGGCTCATTTCTTATCTCACTGTAGTGGCTAGAATAGAACAGTAAATAGTTTAAAGATGAAGGGAAGGAAACCGGGGAGATTTCTCCTGGTTTGTGTGTCTTTAAAGATGATTCTCATAAAGCCTAAGTCTGAAGAGGGAAGCCTGGTGACGATACCAAGGGCGGGAGCAGGAGCACCTTGGGCTTTAAATTGTTGATTCACCAGCTTCCCAGCAAGCTAGTCTGTCTGAGAAGTGACTGTTTCCCACAGAGCGATGCAGGGCTGGGGTCAGCACGCTCTTTGGAGGACATGTGTTATCCTGTGGGACTGGGCTTCTTAAAGAGGCTTGCGAACACAGGAGTGAGAGAGTGAATGTGTTTTTGACAAGGCTTGTTTTGGTAGTCTGATAGGATCAGAGGGCCACGCGAGGAGGCAGGGGATCATCAGCCCCCACGAGGCATGGAGCCTTCTTTGATAGAGTGGCAGAGGGAGAAGATGGAATCTGTAAGATTGTGTGCACTTAGAATTTTATGTCACAGTTAAAACAATTGACATGTGAGCTTCTCCTCTCATTATATCTTTTAAAAGAACTCCCCAAACACCTTGATTATGATGGCACAATCAATTTTAATTGGTACTATAAACTGATTAACTAGTATAATTAAATTGTAGAACATTAATTTCGATGCATACATTTTTATATTATAATGATAATTTTATAGTACTTAATTAAACTCCCTTGTAAAAATAAAAATTTTCATTGAAATTACAAATATACTGTCTTAATGCTGGTGTAATGTTCAATTTTACTCAATGTTCATTAGGAGTCTATTTAACAGGCATGGTATTTTTATGTCTGTGAAGAATGTTTTCTGGAGAGAGTCATATATTCTGATTGTTCTAATAATTTCTACCTATGCTTTGATGAAGAGCCACATGTTAAATTATGAAAAGAGTCATCCCAGCCTGATGATTTATTTATGAGCTAAAGCAGGGTTTCCCATTGCACATCATTGCATTTGGGATTCAGAGAATGAGTTTGAGAGCTCTCAAAGAGTGAGATGGAATATGTGTGTGTACTCACACATTTGTGTCTAAGTGTGTGCCTATGTGTGTGTGCTCACTTAGTGTTTGTGTGTTTTATATTACCAAGGGTAATTTTGACTCGATACTGTAATTCTTAAATCATGATAATTATCTTTTATTATATGACGTCGTAAAGGCACAGAGAACAGTTTGTTACAGAATACAAATTGACCAAGAGATAATGGCAACTTGAGATTAATGCATTTGAAGGCCAGAAAGGCTAGCAAAATGGCCTGAGGTAACTCATAGGTCTGTGAGCTCATATTGAGCAGGTGTTGAAAGGCAGCAGAAATGATGGCAGGGAAGAGCCCTTTTGAGACCCTGGAGCCTGACTGGCATAGAGTGCCAGGAAGCTTTTGGGAATTCTGAGAGTGTTCACCAGGATGAGCTGTCCCTGTGCTTGCACAGAAAGGCCCTTGCTTCATTTAGTCAGAGTGATTGCAGATGCACTGAGCGGATGGCCTGGGACCAGAGGGAAAAGACAAGACTTCAGCACTAATCTGGACAAGTATAAGTTCTGCTCCTGTCCTGAACGCTTATAACTTTGTTTAGTGTATGTGATTTGGGCTCATGGTCTGGCTTTTATTTTAACAACCATGAATTTTCAGCAAGATAATATGCGATTATAATGTAGGGACAGAGGATGTAGTCCAGTGGTAGAACACTTGCTCAGCAAAGGCAAGAGCCTGACTTTGGAAAAGAAAAATGAGAATACTGGAGAAACAAAAAAGTAAATATTTTAGATTTTTAAATAAAATAAAATAGAATTTGAGGCACAATGATGCATGTTTGGAGTCTCAACACTCAGGAGACTGAGGCACAAGAATCCTGATTGAGGCCTCCACTTGTAATGAGATCCTGTCTGAACCAAACTAAACCAAACCGAACCAAACTGAACTGAAGCGAAGCAAACCAAACCAAACCAAACCAAACCAAACCAAACCAAACCACACCACACCACCACACCAAATAATCCAAATGGGTTGACATTACTTTCTGAAAAGAGTAAATAAGGATTAGGGATGAAAGAAAGATATCAGTGCTAAGATGGAAGGATAATCAGACTAAGCTATTTATGGCCTTTGAGTAAAGATTATATCCTTCCTTTCAGAGGACACTCTATAGTAGATTCCCATCCTGTTTCCTCTCTTCCACCACTTCTGGTGTTTATCCTGTTTGTCATTCTGAATAAGATTTAAGCATCCTTCCTAGGGTCTTCCTTAGTGTTTAGCTTCTTTAGGTCTCTAGATGGCTGACCTATATTATATGGCTAACATCTGCTTATTGGTGAATATACACCATGCCTGTCTTTCTGTTTCTGGGTTACCTCACTCAGGATGATCTCTTCTAGTTCCATCCATTTTCCTGCAAATTTCATGATTTCCTTGTTTTTAATAGCTGAGTAGTATTCTGTTGTGTAGATATATCATTTCTGTATCCATTCAGATGCTGAGACTCAGGGCCAAACTTTGGGCAGAGCACAGGGAGTCTTATGGAGGAAGAGAGGGGTGGGATTAGAGGAACATGGAAGGGACAGGAGCCCCACAAGGAGACCAACAAAACTAAAAGATCTGAGCCCAGGGGTCCTGCACAGACTGATGCACCAATGGAGGGCATGCATGGAGAGGACCAAGACCCCCTGCTCAGATGTGGCCCATTGGCAGCTCAGTCTCCACGAGGATCTCTGAGTGAGGGGAGCAGGGGCTGCCTCTATTATGAACCCAGTTGACTGCTCTCTGATCACTCTCCCCTGATGATGTGGTCTTGCCAGGCCATGGAAGAGGAAGAGGAAGAGGATCCAGGCAGTACTGATGAGACTTGACAAGCTATGGGCAGACGGCAATAGTGGAGAACTCAAACTTTCAGTGGACTAGGGGTAGGGGGTGAGGGGAAGAGAGAAGGAGAGTGGGACTGGGGGAGTTGAGGGAGGGCTTCAACTGGGATATATAATGAATAAACTGTGAAGAAAAAAAATAAAAAGACTATATCCTTGTCCTAAATTCAACACGACCTTTCTTTTGAAAGAGACTGACACGTATGTGTGTGGATACAGTATCTCTAGATACCAGAGGAGGGCTTGGGATCTCCAAAACTAGAGCTGTAGGCACCTGAGCCACCTGATGCTGGAGCTGGGAATCGAACTCATGTCCTCTTCAAGAATAGTGCAAACTCTTAACTCACAAGCTGTCTCTCTAGCCCCAACATGTGGCTTTTTCATGTAGGTTCTAGGTCTTGAACTCAGGTTTTTAAGCCTGGGCACCAAGTACTGACCAACTGAGCCATCTTTTCTGCCCACAGGATTCCACTCTCTAGTCTATCCGCACTAAATCCCTCTACAACAGGAATCATTTGGTATTATTTTCTCAAGGAATCACTGAGGTCAACTTCTTAAAATCATATCAGCCATGTGCTTACCTAGATTTATCTCTGTGACTTTTTCCTTTATAAATTGTTACCCCTTTGTATAGTTTATGTACATACAGCTAAGTCTACGTATTATTGCTATTCATGTGACGAATTTTCTGAAGTTACATTATTATTATTACGTTAACTCAAAAACTGTTATAATTGCAAAATATATCCATACTGTTCATGTGACATCTTTAACACACACATATGAATTGATATGATTAAAATCAGACATTGGTTTTGTTATTTATTGGAGCAAACACGAACTTGCTCATTGTTTTAACAGTGCAGTGCAGTGCCTAAGTAGGTTGCCCTTTAGCCATGTACATCTCATCTTAGTTCGGTGTATCATGTAAGGCGGCTGCATTTGTTTCTAAAATCCAGACTTTCAAACTTTGCAGGGACAAAATTGCCACTGGGTCCTTCGACAAGACCTGTAAGCTCTGGAGTGCAGAGTCGGGAAAGTGTTACCACACCTTCCGGGGCCACACGGCAGAGATCGTGAGTACACTTGACGTCCTGCAGACTCCTCCCTGTCGCTTTTCCTTTTAGGGTCCCATTCTGAGAGTGGAGGTTGCTTTTATACTGAGTTTTCAGATTTTGACCCAGGATTTTTAGCCTGCGTGGACTGTCCATGGCAGAACAGATGTGATTCTCGACGCTTCAGATGGAACCACTCTCGGATACCGTTAAAGTAGCCTGCACCGGCTAAGTAGCCATGCCACGTGATTGGCATTTCAGTGTGATGGGCGGCTCTGCTCTCTGACCTTCATTTGCTGGACAGTAGAGGACTGGCCCAATGAGGGTTGATGAGGTACCGCTCTAAAATAACTTCTATGAACCACGTGGGAAGTGTCGGCTGCTTATTTCCTGCATCTCAATAGGATTCAGACTTGTGCAAGTTGTCTAAAACTCCAGATAAATAGTGGTCCCTGCTGGGAGGCCTCTGTCCCCTGTCATCTGTATCCTATCTTATGACAGTGAGATAACTGACGTGTGTGGATCACGTGACGAACTCTTGAGAACAAACAGACTGCTTGAATCAGGAGCAAACTTGGTTTTCATCCACCTTCAGGTTCATGGCATATTCATTCAACAGGAGCCCTTGGTGGGTTTAAGGCAAGGTGTAGCCACCCGATGTAGTAGGCACGTTTCAGTGGCTTTACTGTTCTCAAGGCATTGATGTGGACTTGCTTACTTTTGCCCCTAGCATCCCTATCTTCAGGCACAGTTAAGGAAACTGAGGCACCTACAGTGACTTGGCCAAAGTTGAAGAAAGACATTATTTTTAGAAAACAGAGGTGTCACCACACTCCCTTAGAATTTTGAAACGATTTGTTTTGCACATGGTTTCTTTTGTAATTTCATAGGCAACATTATCGATCCAATAATTACTAACTGTTAACCGGTGTGTGAAGGGCAGTGAAGTAGCTCAGTTGGCAAATGCTTACTCAGCAGCAGCACAAGGGTTTGCCTCTGAGCATTGCATAAGCTAGAGGTGGTCAGGCAGTCCCAGCACCCAGGAGGTGGAGGCAGGAGGATCATATCAAAGTCGTTCTTGGATGCATAGGGAGTTCTAGGCTAACTTGGGCTAATAACAAGCAAAACTAAAACAGACAAAAAACTCCAGAGCTATCTACGTACATAATCTGGTGGGTAGTTGTGGAATGCTGGGTGGAACTGGATGCAGGGTTTTGTCACTGAGGACTTTTCAGTTCAGCAGAAGGAGTAGACACATCACTGAATAGGTTCAAAGATGCACAGATAATGGTGTTGGAAGTGTACAGGAAAGGAGGCAGCCAGGTGTCCTTGACCAGGGAAGATGTTCAGGAAGAATGGGAGAAGGAGGGCACATGCTTCCAGACATAGGGATCAGTACTGCTCTGTGTCCAGAGATGTGCACCCAGGGGGGCTATTTTGAAAATTCAGGTAGCTCTCTGTGGCCAGAGAACTCAACCTTCTCCTGAAGTGGCATGCATGGAATATGCCATATGGATGTGCCACAGACACGCTGAGTTGCCTGCTACCCCTGGTCCAGGGTAAAAGGCAAGGGGCTCTGGAGATGCACAGCTTCCTGGGTTAATGACACCATGTGTCTGTACATCTGTATCCAGCCGAAGCTGGAATATCAAGTGGGAGTGAATGAGTAGAAGAGGCAGGCGAAAGTCATGTGGTAGATAGAAGGGGACTTGCATGACACACAAAGGCGTCCGAGCTCTAGCTTGTGAGTAATGAAGGCTGTGCCTTAGAGGCCTGCCAGCTGGGAGGGTTATGCCAGACATGCTTCTCTGAGATTTTCCTTTTTCTTTTTCTAACATTATGAAGGAGAAGTTGGAGGCAGATGAAACTGTAGGCACCTGCTAGCTCGCTGGAGATCTTACTGCTACTCAAGTGATCTGTGATGAGCGCTGTCCTACAGAAGATGAGATGGGGAGAAGTGAAAATGGAATAGTGAGAGAGGTGCTCAGTACCACACAGATCTGAGGAAAGGGGAATCCAGGGTGATTCCTTGTCTGGAAGTTTATGTTATTGGCAGTTCCCTTCCCTAATTCTGTGCGTGTACTAAGAGGAGATCATATGACTGTTGAGACAGATTGAAGAGAGATACCTGTGCCATCTAACAAGCATCCTTTTGCCAGAGATAGACTACTTGGTGATGAAGATATAACCATAGGCACAGCTGCTAATAGGAGGACCTAGGGCCTGAGTCTGAGGGGTGCTAGAAGGACTGCCTGCAGGAAGGCCATCCAAGACATGGAATTGACAGAGTGAGCCAGAAGTCACAGTTATCCACTGAAAAGCATGCTCAGAAGGACTGCAGTCATAGTTGCAAGGACACAGAGACCACCCTCCCCAACCCCAGCTTGAATCTTGCCCGAGATGGGCTGTGCTTTGGCTGTAATTCTGTGTTCTGGAAGCTTTAAAGAGAACCTGTGACAGAGTAAGTGGCCTGAACGGAACAGGCCTCTCTTTAGAAGGAGATTGCTCACGGTTCTATTTGGAGATAACAGGTTCCTCACTGTCTATGGCTTGGTGTGCTCTTATACAAACCTACTGAACCTGAATATGCTAAGAGAGCTGCAAGAGATTCCATGTATAACTAAGAGTTCAAAGCATCGTGTTTCCCCCATTTCATGTGTTTGTAGGTGTGTCTGTCATTCAACCCTCAAAGTACAGTGGTTGCTACAGGAAGTATGGATACAACAGCCAAACTATGGGACATTCAGAATGGAGAGGAAGTGGTCACTCTAACAGTACGTCCATATTGTTGATTAGCCTATCATTTGTGTTGATTATTAGATGTTCTTTAGTATGAAACACAGGCTGTCTAAGAAGTTCCTGAGCCACTGGCTTTTAAAGGATGGGAGATGTCATGTTGGTTTGCAGACTCAGGTGAAGGTGCTGGAGAAACCAAGCAGGCTTTTGTTTTTATTATGTAAATCCCAGCATCTTTGCATCTGCTGTCTACCTGGCTGAAAGAGAAGAGGTAGGGGCTGTGTTTGGGAGATGCAGAATTGAGCCATTCCAGAAGGTTCTTTCTGAGATTATGGTTCATTCTCTCCCTCCCCTTTCATGCTCAGTTTAGAATTCTTCTGGTGACAGAGAATGAGCAGGGTCAGGAATGGGAAGCACAAAGACCAAAGGGCACGAACCACAGAGAGGACGGGTGTGGTTTTTGGTCTTGCCTCTTGCCACCACATGTCTGAGCACCTTCCCAGGACCTGTCTCCCTCCACTTCATCCCATACAGCCCAAGTGGCCACAACTTGGGAACCATCCGATGGGGATGCTAGCTTCCTTGTCCTATTAAAGGGATAAGTGAAATTTAAAAACTCACACCAAACATGTATAAAAAGGATACTTTCTCTAAGAAAATCAAAAGTAGACTAAAACAAGAGAAGAAAAAAAGCCATTATTTTAAAAGATATTTCAACAGCGTTTTGTTTGTTTGTCCTTAAATTTGAGGATGTAGCATTATTAATGCCAGCATGGAACAGAGCTTCTTGATTGGCCTTTCTTTCAGGAACATGTAGAGGGAAAGCTTTACTTCAGTTTGTGTTTGTGGTTTCAACGTTATTTCTCCTCCTACTGTCTCTGCTGTGCCTCGTTGGAAGAGCAAACTCTGCTCTGACGTGTGCACCCATCTGCTGGTGGAAAGCACTGGTGTGCCTGCCCCAAATACCAGTGCTCAGCTATGCTTCACCTCAGCAGCAAGTCAACTTGTAAACGAGCACTTAAACTATTTTATTATTTACCAATATAACCAAGGGCCGCGGAGCTATCTCGATAGGAAAAGTACCTCTAACGTCCCTCCAAGCATGAGACAGTGAGTTTGGATTCCTTGCACTCATTTACATGGCAGGTATGTAACAGGTTACACACCCCAGTATTTGTATGGTAGAGACAGACGGGTCCTGGGAGCTTGCTGGTCAACCAGCCTAGTCTAACAGTCAGCTCTAAGTCTAGTGAGAGACTCTGTCTTAAAAATATTAAGGTGGATAGTGATGGAGAATGATATGTGAAGTTGACCTTTGGCCTCCACAAATGCCTACACAGGTAAGTGAACCAATCAATATGTGCACCTATACATACACTAAACATACACACACAGAGAGAGAGAGAGAGAGAGAGAGAGAGAGAGAGAGAAAGAGATATCCTAGCAGTGCAGATGTTAAGAGGACTGTGTGTTCAAGGCTAGAGTGCAGAAGCAGAGCAAAGCAAAAATAATAGAGATAAAAGTATTTAACTGTATTTATTTACTGAAATAGGAAAATGAAGCTCATACCCAAACAGGGTCTTCTTTCCAGATTATCAGAATTTACTGTAGGAGGAACTTTTTCATATGGTTTCATACAGTAGGATCCTCAGGATTAGCCTGAGAGGAGAGAGAGAGAGAGAGAGAACAGAGGCAGCTGCCTATCCTTGACCAGTTCTACATCACACTGTCGCAGGAGTCTCTTCCTTTATAAAGATATTAGATTACCCCGTCTACTGTTTTCTCTTGCCCGCCACTCATCATGCCTGCATGAAGCCGGCCCTTTAAAGTCTTTTCAATAAAATAAAAAAGACTCTAAGTTTTCCCAAATATATTCTTTTATTTAAAAAAATAACCCCGTCCTGCCCTACAATTACTTCATTATTCTGCAGTGAACCTGCTTGAAGTGCCAAGGCAAGGAGCTTTGCTGATTTACTCTGCACGTGTCACCAAATTCTCCTCACCTTGCAGAGAAAGCTGTGCACATGCGCAGCTCCTCCCAGCCCAGCCGAGCAGGATTTCCGGTTTCTCCCTGCAGCTTTCTCTTGTCTAAGTTCTTTTGGATGACACTATGCCCTTGTCTGCATATACTCTTATCTATGTGCTGTTATCTATACATGTACATGACTGTACCTGTTCTTTTTTCCAGGGTCATTTGGCAGAAATCATTTCCTTGTCATTTGACACTTCAGGGGACAGAATAATCACAGGGTCCTTTGACCACACAGTTGTTGTATGGGATGCTAGTACTGGAAGGTAATTTTCTAGGTATTTGTGAACTGTGTGAGGGTTTTAGAAGATTCTGTGTTATGTACTAGCATAGCTTTGTCTAAGCTGTTGTGATTTAAATTCTGAAGGAGTATAACTCATAGTTGGTTATTACTATTTTTAACATGTTTTAGTAATTTGCCTGCATGTATATGTATTAGCACCACAAATGTGTCTGGTCACTTCATACTTGAAAACTGCCATGTAGGTGCTAGGAACCAAATCTGGGCTTTCTGTAAAAGCAGTCTGTGCTCTTAACCATGAGCCATTTCTCTAATTCCCATAGTTGATTCTCTAGGGGATTTCTGATCCACAAAATAACTGATTTCCCACAAATAATGTCAAGCAACAACATAAAGGAGAGTGTTATGAGGATCCTGGTTACATAGCTGTTCTTAGTCCCATGTACTATATAATCAAATTTCAATGACATCTTAGTATGGTAAGGTTGGATATCATGAATTAAAACTCACATCATTAATTCCCCAATCTCAATTTAGCCCAAGAACTTCAATTTCCATTCTAATGGTTGTTGGTTGTACTTGTTAGGAAGTTAGCTTGTGTTGGAAAACTCCACTCTTGGATTCCAAATTTGGATAGAGGGATTCCTTACCAATGCCATCATCCAAGAGATACTGAAGAAAGCATGACAGAAGGATGGGCCTTTCAACCATTGACGCACAGCTCCTGAATGCCCATGGATCTGTAGGACCCACTCATGTGTTTTCATGAATTATTTAGCAAATTAATTATCAGCTAACTAACTTTTGGAGTCAGATTCCCATGTAGCTCAGGCTGGCCGCAAAGTCTCTTTGTAGCTGTAGATGATCTGGAACTTCTGATCCTCATGCTGCCATCGCTTGGATGCTGGGATTCTTGCCCGCCACACCTGACTGAAGATGCTGGAGATTAACCCACAGTGTTCTGCAAGCTATGAAAGCAAACACTCTGATTGCTGAGCTACTTTCTAGTTGTAATCGTTGATTCTTATGGCCATTTCTAGAGTCTTAGACTGCCTTTCTGAATCATTCCCCATTCCTTTACAAAATGCTACTTTAGCCAGGTGCGGTGGCACACACCTTTAGTCAAGCACTCAGGAGGCAGAGGTAGGTGGACTCCTGAGTTCGAGGCCAGCCTGGTCTACAGAATAAGCTCCAGGACAGCCAAGGCTATACAGAGAAACCCTGTCTTGAAAAATCAAAAGCAAAATGCTATTTTAAAGTTATAGTTTTAAATTTTTATTTTAATTGTATATATTTATATGTACAGTGTGATAATTCAATTCATGTATAAGCTGTTAAATAATGGAACAGGGTAGTTCACATCTCCATCTTTTTAAATATTGTTTTTCAAAGTTACACAAATTGTACAAATTTTTGGGGTACACTATGATATATAAACATGTTACTTACTAAACCAGAAACTATTTGGGGCTGGAATAATCCAGGCACAATCTTATTATCTTTTAAAACAAAGATTTTTTTTTAATTTTATGTATATGAGATTTTTTTACATTCATGTATGTATGTGCAGCACATGCCTGCCTGGCACACAGGGTAGCCAGGGAGGATCCTCGACCCCCTGCCCCCCGTTACAGGTGGTTGTGAGTTCAGATATGGGTGCTAGAAACTGAAGAAGGTGCATTAACTGCTGGAGCCATCTCACAAGATCAGTCACAAGATCTTTGATTGCTTAAAACTTCTGTGCATCAATTTGTTGAAACTGATGTTCTCTTTTCAAGTGACACTAGACCTATTTTTTTGTTTTATTATCCAGAATGTAATTTTGTAACTATCACAGTTCAGTTCACACATACGGGCTTGACCGTGTCTGCATCTGCTGTAGTAAAACACTTGTGGGAGTTAGTTTTTATTGTTAAGTGGACACAACCTAGAACAGTGGCTCTCAGCCTTCCTAACGCTGTGGCCCATTAATTCAGTTCCTCATGCTGCGGTGACCCCAGACATAAAATTGTTTTCGATAGTACTTTATAACAATTTGCTGCTGTAATGTAATTATTTTTGGGGACAGAGGCTTACCAAAGGCGTCACAACCGACTGCTGAGTACCAATGGCCAGAGTCACCAGGGAAGAGGGATTTGTTAGATAAAGATGGCCTACAGGCACATCTGCGGGAGACTGTGTTGATGGTTCATTGAGGTAGAAGGACCCTGTTCTGGATGTGGGCAGCACCGTTTCCTAGGCTGGGCCCTAAACTGTGTAAGAATGAAGGAAGTTATCTGAGCTAGTCGGAGGCCTGGGGCATAAGACGTGGGGTGAGCTCACTCTCCTCTGGGATGTGGCGAGCTTGTCTGAGTCCCTGACCTGTGACGTGGCTTCCCTGAACTGACTGTAACCTGGAATGCTCTGCTGAAGCCCGTCCTCCCCTATAGTGCTCTCTTCAGGACGGTTTGTCACACAACAGAAAGGAAACCAGGACAACACCCTGTACCCGTTGTGACTATTTCTGTCTTGCAGGAAGGTGCACACTTTAATTGGCCACTGTGCTGAGATCAGCAGCGCCTTGTTCAATTGGGATTGCTCTCTCATATTAACAGGCTCCATGGACAAGACATGCATGGTGAGCTCAGAGTCAGCCTTGCTTTGTTCATTGTCTCTCTCCTCCATACTGCGTCCTTCATCATAACACTAACAGACTTCAAGGAGGGCATACAGTTAAGCACAGCCTGATAAATAATTGGTCATTTTTATTTCAAGTGTGAATTTTCCTAAGCTTGAAGGAACTGGGAAGTGATAAAACAATTTTGATTGCTCCAAAAGCAATGAGGATCTTGTTTGAAAAGCCACATTAGTCTCATCCAGTGTCCTGCTGTTTTGTGTGCATATTTAGAATTGGCATGGCCCCAACGAGCCTTAAATGAGTTTCTTCCTGCTGTAGTGTCTCTTCTCTTCAAAAATATTTACTGAGAGTTGATAATCATTTGTCACCTGATTTTATACAAAAACACATAAATTTCATGATGTGCTTTCCATTTTCTGTCCTCACACTTTGGGATCAAACCCCTATTCATCCTGTCATGTTAGTCCCTAACGCATACCGCTAGGATTTTTTTTTTTTTTCCTTAACACTGTAGAAAATTCTAAATGTCTCCTCTTTGATTTTCCTGTGGCCATATGGCTGACCATGGTCATAGTCATAAATCAATGTAGAATTAGCTGATCAGGGAGGGTGAAATGTATCCTTTTAGCACAGTTCTTTAGCAAGACACACTAATATCATGAAGATCATTGGGCATCTTCCCATTTTGGGGAGGACTTTAGTTGCTTAGTTGATGATTTCATTTTCTCTCAATTTCAGTTGTGGGATGCTACAACCGGGAAATGCCTGGCAACTTTGACAGGCCATGATGATGAGATACTAGACAGCTGCTTTGATTACACAGGGAAACTCATTGCAACAGCTTCTGCTGATGGTAAGTCATATGGCGACACATTTGAGTTATGGAGGAATTTATGTTTTCCTTGGAAATGGTGCCTGACTTTATACCATGATCCCTGAGAGCCGATGTCCACAATGACATGTATGTCACTGCAGTGTGTCCATGTCACCTTCTTTGTGCGTGTGTGCTGTTGGGGCACTGAATCTAGAGCTCACCATTAGCTCAGCAGCACTTTTCCAGTGAGTTATATCCTGGGATAGGATCTCACTAAGTTGTCCAGATTGACCAGTCTGTAGCCCAGGCTGGTCCTCCCAGCGCATTCTCTGAAGAGTGGGCATGGCTGACTGCGTCATGAATCCTGGATCCATGTCACATTCTTAATAATCATGTGATGTTTTCTGTTGTGCATGTCACTGCACCAATAGGGCCACACATGACTGTACAGGCTTAGATGTCTTCTATGCATATGGTGCCATGGTCAGAGTCATCTCTTTGATGATTGTGTATGGTACTCCGTTCTGTTGGATTTATCAACCTGGCCATTATTAATGTCACCACTATAAACTGCATCCATTCTTTATAGATAACGTACTGCTACACCATGTCTCTCACTCATAGAGAAACATATCCTAGCATGTACTTTCATTACCTCATTCATAGGCAACTACAAAATCCTCTGATGATCATATATGCTTTTGAAACCCCAAGTCCCCATTCTGATTTTGTGCCGTTGCCCTGCTCATCATATATAATGCCACTTGTTAACTATAAATGGTATGGTTATACAGTGGTATAATATTGTGTACCCCTGTCCTTGATGCTACGCATTATATAAAGTTTTCTTAATGTCTGCTTTCCAACACTATGCTCTTGATCATCACTTTGATGACCAGTTATGGCCTTACACTGGGCAGTTACATGTATGGTACCACTTTATGTTTCATCTACTTAAATACCACTCATGATCCTGTGCACTGTGTGAATGACACACATTCCAATAATATTGGTGAAGCTATACTGCTTCCATTCTATCTACAAATGACAGTACCTTGTCATCTCACTGATTATCATAATTTATAAGAATCCACAATGTCAGCCATACTCTCTGGATGATCATGTCTTATGCCACAGTGTGTCAGAGTCATAAGTTAAAGAAAAACTCACCTCTGACATAACAGTAAAATTTGCAAATTCTTGGAATTTATGTCAGGTTACATGCCACATTCCTTATTTACCATATGGTGCTTGTAGTATGAATATATATATACTTAATGTTTATTAACAATATCTTACTCTATGTAATCCTGTAGTGTGTGTTTGTGTGTATGATCTCTACTGACAAAATCATACTCTATATGTTGCTATATATATGAGTGGATTGATACATGATGTATATATATATATATATATATATATACATCATATACATATATATGTATATATATATATATATACATTATCTATACTGACAGTATCTTACTCTATGCCCCACACAGATAATCTTAATTTCACATAATTCATTGAATAACGGTAATATATTGTATACGTATTACCTTTTTTTAAACTGGGTTTATTATTGCACTGATTGTATCAGCTTTGCACAATGCTTGTGTAATCTCCTTGAAGATCACACATGATGCTCTATTAACATGTTATCCCTTTGACAATTTCATAACACTGTGTTTTCTGCATAATCTCTGCATGGTTCTATTCCGTAGGTCATATGACAACCATGCATCCTGTTACGCTGTAGGTACACACTTTAAAATACTATATATACAGTAGTGCAGTCTGACTACTTTCATCTTTGATAACCTTGTGCAATCCCTCTATGCTATGGGTAAAACTCTCTGGTGATACAGAATGATCTTGTCGACTCCAGCTACAAGACAAAAACACAGTGTGTCTCTTATTTAAATTTTAAGTCACAGTATGGTTTTGCTGTGACCCGTTGTGACAAATATGTGATGCCTTGCCATTATTCACATCTCTGGTAGATTTGTGGGCACGGAAGCTCTATGTTCACCCTTTTTGGATAATTATGCATGATGGTATTATGTGATTTATGATAACCGTAAATTCCACCCTATGTATTCGTCATGAATTTAAATATCACGTATGATGTCTCCACGTACTTGCTTCTTCTTTTGCGTAACTACAAAGAATGGTATTTAAGCTGTGCATGGTGGCACACACTTTAATCACAGCAAAGAGACCCTTAGTCAGCACAACTCTTCCTGAGTTCTTCACACAGCAACTATCAAGTAACAAATAAGGAAGTCCCTAACCCCACAAGTCATGGGGAACTTGCTATATGCAGAAAGATATAATGTAGAGATTCTATAGCTTTCGCATTTACATTTTAGTGCAGTAGTTTCTGCATGTGGAGTAGGTAGAATTGTGAGCTCATTGTTTCCCATATCCACATCCATGTGACATTGTATTTCCCCCATTGGACTGGACTGGGCAATGGGGTGGGAACCACGTGTGTGAGCCTCTCCCGAGCTCTCTACTTGTGATCCATGTCTATTCTTGGGTCAGAACCACACAGCTCTATTTACTATGGCATAAGGAAAATATTAGTAACAGGAAAGAAAAGTTTTCCACATGCTGTCCTTTGAAATGGTTTTCATTCTCGTTGGTCCTTTACCTGCTTTCCTGTCCTCCTTGGTGATCACATTCCTTAGTTCATAATCAACAGTCTAAATAGGCCTCATAGCACCCACTCTCATGAAATACCACCATACTGTGTAAATTTAGGAATTTGCACTCATAGGATCAATATCATAAAATCAATCATTGAAATATAACTTCTTGTAACATACCTCTGTAACTCTGGACAATGGTTATGATGAGCAGGGCCTAGAGAAAGGGCTCAGAGGCAGGCAGACCTCTGTGAGTTCTGGACCAGCCTGGTCTACATAGTGAATTCCAAGTCAGCTTGTTTTACATAGCAAGTTTCAGGATAACCAGACTACATAGTAAGACCATATCTCAAAAAAAAAAAAAAATCCCCCAAACAAAATTGATATTTAATGTGTGAATGCCATCTTTCTGCTATAAATGCATGGTACCCTAATATGAATTATTCCTTAAGCGGCTGCACTGGGTTTTTGATGTTCCTTTTATAGCTGGGAGTAATGCTATATTGTGTTATCACCTTGATCAGCACGCGGACATCGTCACTGTATGTGACCCATCTCCAGAAAGATCACGGATGCTGGTATGCCCGTCTCTGTTATCTTTCTGACGGCCACATGTGGTGTGGCATTGTGTTTCCATATCCCAAATTACTATGTCTGGTGATAACTTTGTGTCTGTCTGCTCTTCCTGTGTCCCATGAACCATGATGTCTTATGTCATATCCAATGCCTTGAAAAGAACCTGAGATGCTATCTCATCATCTTGAAAAGCCACATTTAGCGAAATGTTATCTGTTGGATCAGTTTGATGTCCACTTATGATGTACGAGCATATTATAGGCTTATCTTTTATGACAGTGCATTAAAGTGTATCACATCTATGCCATCTTCTGGTTAATGAGTGACATGCTGAAGCTTGCATGTCATGTATGTCGCCTTGTTATTTATGCTTTCCACGTATATTATACTAGGAGTCGGGTGCAATGGCACATGCCGGTAATCCCAGCACTGGGGAGGCAGAGGCAGGAGGATCTCTGTGAGTTTGAGGCCAGCCTGGTCTACAAAGTGAGTCCAGGACAGCCAAGTCTATGCAGAGAAACCCTGTCTTCAAATACATATATTCCAACCTTCTTGGATAAATGTAATGTGATACTATCTGTGTTTTATCCATTTAGCCAAGTCCCGTGCTTTCTCTCTCTTTTGTATCATAGCTTTAACATTATAGAAATGCCATATCCCCAGCAATCCCGTATTATGTTACACTGTTTCTTCTCATCTCCTAAAGCTCCTTTATGATAGTATGCCATATTTAGACATTCTCACTGACTGTACCCACTTCTGTAGTTTGAGGTGTGAAAGTAGTGAGGTGAAACACCACACAGCTTTATACAGAGCTTATTCTGAAGATTCATACGCTGATGCTACATATGTCCCTACCATCTCCTGAAGATGATATTTGAACACCACGTCCAACTTTGATTCTACAGTATAGCATGACATTTTTTCAAGCATATATGATGCCATGAATAGGAGTGATATTTTTTCATGTGTTCTGTCATACAACATGATGCATATGAGGACATGTTATTTCTATGACAGCTTCTGGTACCATGTATTATACTGCACAATGACTATTTTTTCCTTCCCAGTGATCATGTGTAACAATACTCTTAACTGCGCCATGTCCTTAAAGCCCTTGGTAATGCTGGGCTTCCCATGTGTAAGATGTTTGACATCTTGCATGCTACCACACTGTGCTCCATTATTTGGTGATGTTATGTGTGATTCAGTTTCATATCTTTTCTATCACTTAAAAATATGCATGAGACAGAGGAAGTCCTCTTCCCCTTCCATCTGACCCTAGTCTATCAGGTCTCAGCAGGACTAGATTCATTGTCTTCCTTTGTGGACAGGTAAGGCCGCTCCACCATTAGGTGGAGGTGATCAAAGAGCCAGCTCATGAGTTCTTGTCAGAGATGGTCCCTGTTCCTATTATTGGGGAACCCTCTTGGACACTGAGCTGCCATGGGCTATATCTGTACTGGGGTTCTAAGTTATCTCCATGCGTGGTCCTTATTTGGAGTATCAGTCTCAGAAAAGACCCCTATGCCCAGATTTTTTGGTTTTGTTGCTTTCTTTGTGGAGCTCCTGTTCCCTCCAGGTCTTTCTATCTTCACCTTCTTTCATACAATTCCCTGCACTCTGCCCAAAGTTTGGCTATGAGTCTCAGCATATGTTTTGAAACACTGCTAGATAGTCTTTCAGAGGCCCTCTGTGATAGGCTCCTGTTCTGTTCCGGTTTTTCTCCCTCTTCCGTTGAGGGGCACAGGAGAAGAAGAGGAAGTGGGAGTGAGGGTAGCATTGGGAGGGGATAGGGAATGGGGCTACAGTGGGATACAAAGGGAATAGACTGTGATTAATAGGAAAAATAAAAATTAAAAAAAATCTGCATAAGAGGGGCAGGTGAGATGGCTCCGTGGTAAAGAGTGCTTGCTGCTCTTGAGGGTCTAAGTTTGATTCCCAGCACTCATATTGGGGGGCTCACAAATGCCTCCAACTTCAGTTCCATTGGATGCCACACTCTCTTCTGGTCTGCACGAGCACCTGCGCTCACCTATAATATGCACCTACACAAGACACATACGGAAACACACAATTAAATAGAGAGTGAATCTTTAAACGAGCTGCTTAAGCTATCGTACTGCATGCAGAGCACATCCTTGGAGGTGACATGTGATCCCACACGCTATTGCATGCCCACAGTGAAGACCTGCGGGCTTTAGGCTGGGTCTCGGCCTTGATGACATTGCATGGAGTTGTGTGAGGTTTTTACCTCACTTCTCCGTTAGCTTATATTTCAGTATAACTGCATGATGCGGAGCTATATCCTGTGTCATGTTGCTGTTGATTTTATTGTGTAAAATGCTGCGTAATTTCTTCCTTTTTCCCTATAAGCACACACAGTGCACACTGGCATGTACGTCATGCCCTTGCAAGTGCTCTATGGTTTCTTGTTGTAATTTATCTTACTGCAGTTAGCGTGAAGTAAAACAAGATAGGGCATAAGTCTTCGCACACACTTATTACATAAAATGTTACATTGCAGAGAATATTTTTTGGATGTCACTCAGCAACATCTGCCGGGGATAGGGTTGGAGGATCAGCAGGATGAGGGGGGAAGAGTTGACTAAAATACAAGTTCGGTTGTTTTTATTTTGTTGTTACCCACAGTTCATCCAGTATCGATTCTGTCCATTCACTGTTCCACAAAACATTATTTCAAAATGACCTCTTCTTTTGGGGTATCCTAAGAACTGATTCTGTGCTTCCTAAGAAGCTTTCAGATTTAGAGCACTCTTATTTAACTCCCAAATGATACATTTTTTATTGTTTGAGGTTCATAAGTTTAGATAAGTTTGTTATACAATAATGGATAATTAACACAGCCTGGTATAATTGCTGTCCCCGTTTTCCAGCTGAGAGAGCTCAAGTGTACATAAAGTAGCTAAAGTAGCTCATTCCAGGACGCAGAGTTAGGAAATAATGGGTGTGGGATGTGGACCTAGAAGTCTTACTTCTGAGTTCATTCCCATCCTGTATTCCGTAGCTATGATGTCACAGGGAGTCTGTGCATCACATAATTTATTTCAAGTCCTGGTCTTCCTTCTTAAGTCGCCCCACACTTCTGACTTACTGGATGTGAAGCATTCCAGCTGTAAGCTTTATGTTTGCAATCATACCAATTCTAAAATAACATTCAAAAATTATCTATCTACTTCATTCTTTCTTATTCCACATGTCATTCCTTCTTCAACATGGACGCCCTTGATCTCTTCCAACAGTGTTAGAGACAGAGAGAGTAAGTCCCCTGTAGCCTCTTCTGCAATGGGACAGATTGCATTTAGAAGGTTGACCATGGCTTTTGACACAGGAAGGACAAGCTCTGCTAGGGCTTTATTTGCCAGAGGCCAGACTTTTAGGTAAGGTGAAGCCCTGTATTCCAGTCCTGGGCTAATGAACATCCCCCTCTCTCTCCAAAAGGAACAGCAAGAGTTTATGATGCAACCACAAGAAAATGCATAACTAAGCTGGAAGGCCATGAAGGAGAAATATCAAAGGTGAGTTGTCTTCTCATTTGGAGCAGTGTGTTCATTGTTTAAAAACAAAAAAAAAAAAAGAGTATGTTTAATACAAGTAGGATAATAGAGGCTACAAATTAACCCTCCAAGTTTATATGTAACAGCTTACCCTTTAAAATATATAAGACCTGTAGGGTCAAAGATAGAACAGAGATAGAGGGAATATCTAACCAATGCCAGGCCCAACACTAATAATCACCCCATGGAAGAAAGCCAACCCCTATCGCTCTTAAGGATACTCCGATATGCTTGCAGATGGGAGCCTTTCAGAGTTGTCCTCTGAGAGGCTTCACCTAGCAACAGTTCAAACAGATACTGATACTCAAAGCTAAACACTGGGCAAAGCATAGGGAGTCTACTGGAAAGGAGGGGGAAGGGCGAAATGGACCTAGAGGTGACAAAAGCTGCACAAGAAGACCAAGAGAGCCAACTAACCAGGGCCCAGAGGGGCCTCTGGAGACTGAAGCACCAACCAAGGCCAGTGGGTTGGACTGGACCTGGATCCTCTACATATAAGCAGCTGATGGGCAGCATGAGCCTCAAGTGGGGCCACTATTTAGGGGAGTGGGGACATCTCTGACATGGACTGCACGGCCTGCTTTTTGATCACTTCCCCCGATGGGACTGCTCTACCAGGCCTCAGGGGAAGAAGACAAACTCAGTCCTCATGGGACGAGATGAGCTGGGGTGTGTGGGTACAGGAGCTTCCCTATTCTGAGAGAGGAGAGGGGATGCGAGAGGGACGGAAGGACTGGGAGGAGAGGAGGGAGGGGGCCAGGACAGAGATATAAATTGAATTAATTAAAAAAAAATGTTCGAATCAGACTAGGCTTCACCTACACACAGTCAACTTGCTAGGAATCTAGGGATTTCAGTTAATTTTCCTGTAAAAAATATCAACAAGCTCATTTATTTCATAGAGAGTAGACCTACACCTCATGTTGCTTGCATAACACCCTGTGTCTTTACATCCTAGAGGTGTTATCTGGGTATGGTGGCACATGCTCATAATTCCAGCCCTTTGGAGGCAGAGACAGGAGGATCAGGAGTTCAAGACCAGCTTGGGCTAAATGGTACTTTATCTCAAGCAATAAAAAAAAAAACCCAAACAATCACCCCAATCTCCCAGAAAAGACAGGTATATTGGGACCTGAGATATTAAAGTATCTTTAATTATATCATGCTGCTCTAAAACTCAACTACCTAAGCCTTTATTTTTTGAGTCTGTTCTCTCTGATTCAGCAAAAACAAATGATTGCCTAAACACTTAAAAAGCATAAAACAGTTTTCTTTTCAAACATCAGCAAATATTTAATTAGCTGAAAATACCCAGCTCAGCAATTTAAGGAGCTTGTAAAGTGCTTTTTTTTTTTTATAGTTCTAGTAAACAGGCAAGTTTGTATTATGCAGAGAAGCATGTGGTGCCTCAAGGGACCTTTGAATTAGATGTAATGGATAAAGTGATATTTGGAAATATTTAACAACGTATAAAATTACCCATTTTGAAACTCCAGGGCTGTATCTTAGGGTTTTATTGAGCACTTTTTAGAACCTCCACAGAACAGAGCTACCCGATGAGAGTCTGAAAGTTGTATGTGTCCCCTGAAACATGGCAGAGTATGCTGGAACTGGGGACTCTTGCTTCCCAGCTCAGCCCAAATTCTTGGTTTTATAAGTGAGATATTGTCTGCTTCTTCCTTATGGAATAATAGCTTAATTACTTCAGAACTCTGAAAATTCATAGCCAGATTCCAGCACTGCCTCTGTGTTTTTCCATCCCTTCTTCTTTACCCATGTTGCCGGTAGCCATTGCCCTGTGGCTGGTAATTGCTTGTATTCATGGCAATGGGTGCCACTGACCACTTCATGGACTGAGAGATAAAGGGGTGGCAAGAGGGCATGGGAAATTAGGGCATGGAAGGGCACCCTGGGTCATGTTCCCAAGTGCCTGGCTAAGTAGCTACCATCATGTTTGTTATTTTCCCTCTATGAATGCATGGTTCTTTTTGTGAACATGTGATTATAAAAAAATTGGAATATATTGCTCATGAAATTACTTACTGTCTGGCAATATTCATAAGGAGTACAGAGCTAAAACAATTAGTGCTTCACTTATTCATTCACCAAACACTTAAAACATTAGGACATATTCACTGTGTACAATAGTGGATTTATTATAATGCTTTCCACACGTGTATAACATATTGTGATCATATTCATCCCCACTGGCCACTCTTGTCCTCCTCTCCTGTAGATCCCCTTCCTATTTCCAGTCGGTCTTCTTCTAGTTTTATGTGCGGCCCAGTGAGCTTCATGAGGATGGCTCAGAGGAGTATGGGTATCAGTAATCCTCTGAGAGCTTCCACCACGCTGGGCATTTTGCAGACGCTGGTGAGGTAGGGATGGGAAACAGGCACAGCTCTGTCCTCCTCCTGTCTTCAGTCCCAGTGGAAGTGGCTCAAATCATTGTCTTATGATAAACATACCTGGCTGTAACCAGACCTATCAGAGGAATGCAAGGGCCAGCAGCAGGTCCCTGTGCCACTCAGACACTGAAGGAGAATGCCTGGTCTAGGGGAAGTATCCAAACGTATTATCTGAAAGTGATGCATTTTGGGTGCAACGGATGAACATCCTCTTGCAGCCCTGTCCTGGGTGTCTGCTCTTTCTGTGGGGCAGACGGAAAGGGCCTCTATGAACCTTTAGTGACAGAATGTGCCGCAGAGGTGATAGATCTAGTTTGCTCTGTCCTTCACTACAACCTGGCTCTGCTTCTCCTTTGGGTGAGCAGGGAACCATGATTCTTTGGGAAGAAACTGTTGGAGACTACTCAAAGTGTACAGGTGCTTTGTTATTTTTTTTTACGGTTAGAAATGTGAGCGAGCATGTGATTGAACGTTAGCATCTAGGTTTGAATTTTTAGATATTAGTCCCTATATTTTTCTCATCAGGAGGAAATTGTTCTAAAAATAAATACCAGGACAGAGAGAAAAGGAGTGCTCAGCTCTCGTTTTGCTGATGGAAGTCTGCTGTTAACCCAAATATCAACCTGTTGTGGTCTCTTTGCAGATCTCTTTCAATCCCCAAGGAAACCGTCTCCTGACGGGCAGCTCTGATAAGACAGCCAGAATCTGGGATGTTCAGAGTGGCCAGTGTCTCCAGGTCCTCGAGGGACACACTGATGAAATATTTTCATGTGCTTTCAACTATAAAGGAAATATAGTCATTACAGGTATCGGAGAAATAAACATCATAGACCTGGTTTTAGTTTTAAATTGGCTACAAGATTGTTTTGTTTTTGTTATTAGAGACAGGGTTTCTCTGTGTAGCCTCGGCTGTCCTAGACTCGCTTTGTAGACCAGGCTGGCCTTGAACTCACAGAGATCCACCTGCCTCTGGTTCCCTGAGTGCTGGGATCACAGGCATGTGCTACTGCTCCTTAAGGCTACTAGATTTTTTAAAAGGATGCTAAAAGGAGTTCACGCCCAACCTCTGCTCCATTTTCCAGAGTGCTTGGCTTATCTTGGAATTTCATTTGACTATCATTATTGATATTTTTTGTTATTGTTGGGTTTATAAAAAATGTTTTGAGACAGGGTCTTGATATATATCTTCAGGTGGCCTTCCCTTGCTATGTAGTGCAGTCTAGCTTAGACTTGGGGCAATCCTGCTGTGGCCTCCCCAGTGCTAGCTTTGGAGGTGTTAACCACTATGCCAGGTGGCATTTTGTTGTACTAGGGCTCACAAGAGTGTGTCCTGCCACTGGCAGTAAGCTTTTGTGACTTTTAATTCTGTTGCTCTAGGTAAGGTAGCCATTTAGAAACCTGTCTCGCTGGTCACTGTACTTTTCCAGCCATCCACGGGTCTGATGGTTATTGCTGAGCTGGTGGTAATGGACACCAATACCCCAAACAAGTCAGAACCATCACTTTGCACAGATGGTTTTATAGCCCAGTAGAGATGTATTGTTGAATACATCAATATGTGGGGGAAGGGATATGCATTGGGGGTTTTCTCAGCTATCAGCAATTGTGTGACCTTTAGGTGAGCCTCACATTTCACGCATGGCTGAGTAGCAGTGGCCGAGGAGAAAGCCCGCCTGTTAGAACCAGCGTAAAAGAGTAACAAAAATAAGATAAGGGGAAAATGATCATGCAATTTGCTTCCCCAGGCAGCAAGGACAATTCCTGCAGGATATGGCGCTGATGGAGGGCCCTGCGGCAGGGCAGGCCTGTTGGCAACAGTAACCAGTAACTTGAACCTCCAGAGAACAAGTGAGCCTGTTTCCTCTGCTTCCCCTTTTCATGCAGCTCACCTGTGGGGCACCCTGCCCTCCACCTCACAGACATGAGCATGAAAGCCAATGAGCTTACATCCTCTCTTGGTGCTGTCTGAGGTGATGACAGGCGCAGGTGTAGTATGCGGTAAATGCCACTCATTGTTTCTGTTGTGTTTTGTGTTTCAGTAGCACCAGCAAATGGATAAATGAAGTCAGAGTGCCTTTATAGCACTTCTTCTAGATTCTAGAATCTTCTAGATTCTGCTCAAAGGCTGATGTTACAGTTTCTCCTCAATAAAATCTTTAGACAAAATGTCTTATCTATAGTGTTTCATTATATGTTTGGAGAGTAAGATCACAAAGAATAAAATGGTTCTTGCCAGCAAATGTATTCTGTATTGAAAGTGGCATAGAATACATGTAGGTAGGTTCATCTCTAAGGATATGTTAAAAAGAATAGATGTCCATCATCGAGACCAGTGCCACAATATATTCCCTTAATGATTCTTCGAGAAGTTTTATGGTTTCAGGCCTTACTGTTAACATTTCCAATGGATTTCTGAGCTGACTCTTGTGTATTGTCTACATCATTTAGTTTAATTAACTTTCCATCACTATGATCAAATATCCAGGATAATGAAAATTGACTTAAAAGAGGTTTGTTTTTGTCCATGCCTTTTAGAAGTTTCAGTACGGATCTGGTTGGTCCAGTTACTCCTGGGCTTGTAGTAAAGGAGATGAGGGAGTTCAAGGGACAGCAAAGTCATTTACCCCATGGCCAGGCCAAGAAGGAGAGAGCTAGAGGGAGAGGAAAGGGGAGGGAGGAGAAGAAGAGACAGTGAGAAGGGAGGAAAACGGAGGGACAGATAGAGAGAGTGAGTTAGTTTTGACTGAGGGGGTCCAACAGTCCCTTTTGAGGTCATTCCCCCACTGACTTGGAACCTCCCTATGGCCCCATTTCTTTAGGTTTTCACCACCTCCCTATAACAGCAAGCTGGAAACCAAGCCTTTAACACAGGGGACTTTGGGAGATGTTCTGGATCCTAACCATAGCAATAAAGATAAAGTTGTATTTATTGTATGCCTATCCTGTTTCCCCAACACTTTAATGAAGTTACTGTTTTTTGTTTGTTTGTTTGTTTGTTTGTTTTGTTTTGTTTTCTCCACTGTGGCAGCTACTTTTAAGACTCTAAATAAGTAGACACATACTTGTGACCCTTAGTTGGCTTTAGTCATGTGTTACAGTTAGTTTTAACTGTCAGCTTGACACATCTGGGAAGGGAAAAGCCCAGATGAGGAATTGCCTCCATTGGAGTGTCCTATGGGCGTGTCTGTGGGACATCCTAATTGTTAATTGGTGTAGAAGGGTCTAGCTCACTGTGCTCTGGGTCTTCCCTGGGCAGGTGGCCCTCAGTTCTATAAGGAAGGTAGCTGAGCAAGCAGGAGGGAGCAAGCTAGTAAAGAGGGTTCCTCTGTTGATTTCTGCTCCACACTTCTGCCTTGAGTTCCCGTCCTAACATCCCTCAACGACAGACTATGACGTGACCCCTCCCTGACATTGGTTGGGTCATTGTTTTATTACAGCAACAGAAAGATAACTAGGGCAGTCATGTGACCGTATTATTTTGTTATACTGTTGAGACTGTGTCTCGCCAAGTTTCTCACGTTGCACTTGAATTCCTTCTGTAGCTCAGACTGGCTTTGACTTTGTGGTCTTTCAACCTCAGCTGCTTGAGAAGTTGGGATTATAGGCCTGGGATTCCAGGACTGAAGAAACTCTTTCTTAAAAATAAGTGCCTAAGTAATCAAGATGATATGGAAAGTGATGGCACAACCACTTTATTTGTACTTGAAAGAAAGGTAGCATGGTATTGTAATATTTCCTGTGAATGATATAGTCAGGCTGCCTGGGTACACATTCTCCAATCCAGGCACTAAGCAGGCTCAGCTCCACTTATGTATGAGATCAGATGAGATCAGGCATACCTAAAGTGGTATGGCCATAAGCGTTTGGGTATATATTCTGATTTGAACCCTCCATGGCTGGGAGGTTCTCTCCCTGCTTCTCAGGTCAGGCTATTTTAAAAATTTATAATAATAACTCTATTTTGATGATTGTGAATATATGTCACATGATACACATGAGATGAATATTAGTTACTATTTGTATAATTAATTATTTTAATTACTTCATATAAATACATTTTTTTGAGAAAAGAACACCACATTTTTTCAGAACTTAGAGTAAAGATCTGAATTATTTTGATGCTTTATAGTGTCTTATGGAGACATATTTAGATTTTTTAAATTTTTTTATGTTAATCACAGGATATTTACTTTGTATCCCAGCTGTAGCCCCCTCCCTCAGTCCCTCTTAATCCCACCCTTCCTCTCTCATCTCCTCCTCTTTCCAAGTGCCCCTTTCCAAGTCCACTGCTAGGGTAGAGTGCAGGGGTTCATACAATATTTAGATTTTTAAATCAAACAAAATTTAACATTCCTAGGATAATTGACCTTCTGTTAATATATTTTGATTATATTCATCTTCTCCTTCTCCCTCTAATTCATCTCAGATCTGCCCCTCCCAATTTCACATCTCCTTCTCCTCCTTTGTTTTCCTAAAACAAAACAAAACATTGTCCAATTTTTCCTGGCCATGTATTTAGGGATATGGGGCCATCCAGTGGAAAGCAGTAACGGAGAAGCACCCTTAAAAAACTGATTCTCCTTCCTTTAGCTGCCACCAACGGGCTAACAGACCCTCAGCCAGGAGTGAGGGCCATTGAGCCCCTCCCCACTCCAGGCTGGAGTGTTTCTGGCTTGTTCTTGTACATATTTTCTCCAGGTAACTATGAACTATCTTTCAGGATTCTCTACTGAGCCAGAAGTGCTAAGTAGTGAAGAGAAGGCCAGTTTAGATGTTAAGGTTTGGTACATATTCCTCATAGAAATACAGTTTCCAAAAACAGTTTGGGTCCATGTTTGGTTGAATCTATGGTTCAAGTATTGCATGGTCACGGGGGATGGCTATAGTTTCATCCATCCTATCCTTTACATTTGATGCATCATTTGATGTGCTCTCAGAAGCACCATTATTGCCAACAGGGGAATCATTCTCTTTCTTTCTTTTTTCCTCTAGCCACCAAATCATAAGAACTGATCTCAGTATATTTTAGCTCTCAGCCTTACTGTTATTCAATCTGTAAGCTACCATTTTATTTTCACCCTGGCACTAGGAACAGAAACTGAATAAAATTGTGAATTACTCCAGCTTCCTCCCACCTTTTAAGATTCTCTATGAAATAAACAACAAAAGTAAAAAGGTCATGGTATTTTATATTCAAAAGACTTTCTCATACGTCAGTATGTTTACTGAAAGGAAAGGAATAGGAACGGTGACTCTAGAGATATGTAACATATGTTCAGAAGTGGGGATGATTTTGGCTTTGTTTCCCTTCCTTATCTCTCTTCACCCTGCTCTCTTTCTTCCCTTATCTGGAAGCACTAAATTAGTTTGTGAATAATTTGTGAACCTTTAAGAAATGCAAATTCTGTGGAAGTGGCAGATGAAATAACGGCAAGGACAGTCACTTGCTTTGCCTGTAAGGAAACGTTGGGTTCATTGCTTTTGGCAAAGCCCCCTTTGATGCTCTTTGGCTGGGAATATGGTGTGTTGCTCAAATGTTTGCTCCCACATGTCAGGCATCATTAGGGAAAGCAAAGAACACATTGAGTCCCTTTGACGTAGCCTGGAAGATGTTGTTTTCAAGGTTTATGGACTTACAAGCTTTGATTTATTCTGTCCTCTCAGCAGGTGGCAGTGTTTATCTTTCTGTAGTTAATGCTTTTCTTGACAAACAGACACTGTGCAGAGTAATTTTTCTTTTTTAATTCCAGATTTACAGATAAGGGTTATGCAGGGATACAAATGCTCAGAATGTGGTACAGTTTAAATCTCGGGATTATCCTGGCAGATCTGGGACAAATGACATATCTCATTATTCTGACATTCTGCAGGGACATTTTCTCATCTATCTTAAGGACAGAGACCATTAAGTTAAATAATAGATAGCTTCAATATTTCTTTAAAGGTCCCCTGTGGGAGCCATGTGGTAACATTTATTTTGCAATGACCAGTGCCGAAAACTTCAATGCTGAACAAAGTCTCTTCACACCGTTATTTTACCAGAGAGAACATGGGTGGTTTTGTGTGTTAATGAAGTCTTCTGTAGCATCAGTGGCTTGAGAATGTAAACATTGTATTTTAGTTTATCATTACGTAACTGTGAACTTTATGGTCAAGTCAGCCAGTGTTTGGTTGGCAAAAACAGAAGCACCAGACTAGGGACTGGAGAGATGGATCAGCAGTCAAGAGCTGCTCTTCCAGGGGACCAGGTTTCAATTCCCACTACCAACATGGTAACCCACAACTGTCTGTACCTTCATTTTCAGGGCATCCAACACCCTCACATAGATATGCAGACAAAAAAAACCCTAATGCCCATAAAAAATAAAGTAAAATTTGTTTTTAAAAACATATGAGACCAAACTAAAAAAAATCTGCTACTCAGAAGCTGGTGTCAAGGGTGCCCAGCTACTGTCACTTCCTTTCAGACAACAGAGGCAACTAAGGGTCTGCTTGACAGAGCAAAAAGAAGAAATACTGGATGGTCCCCCTCTGACAGAGTGACATCTTTTAAGGTGGGAACTTTGGAGGCAGAGAGACCGTCTCCTCTTCTGGTATAACCAGTAATCCAGTTGGGGAAGCGAGCAGTTTAAGGTTTTCAAGAGTAAGAATCACTTAGTGAACTGGCTGGTTTTGTATCAACTTGACAAAAGCTAGGGTCAACAGAGAGGGAGGAGCCTGAGTTGAGGAAATGCCTCCATGAGATCCAGCTGTAAGGCATTTTCTCAATAAGTGATCAAAAAGCAAGAGCCTAGCCCATTGTGGGTGGTGCCATCCCTGAGCCAGTGGTCCTGGGTTCTAAAAGGAAACCAGGCTGAGGAAGTCGTGGGATCAATTCCTGCTTCCGGTTTTTGCCCTGTTTGAGTTTCTATCCTGACTTCCTTCAATGATGAACAGTGCTGTGAAAGTGTAAGCCAAACCTTTTTTTCCCCAACTTGCTTTTTTGGTTATGGTGTTCTGTCACAGCAATAGAAACCATACAACACTTAGTATTCTGGAAGAGGTCCTTTCTCTCTTTCTCACTGGTGGCTAGAATCTCTGTTTT